ACCACTGTGTTCATGCATCTGTATTGCCTGTGTTGGGAAGAGACACCTCCATTTACACAGATCTATAGACACACGTATTCAGAAATGTCCTCTATGTGAGTGTGTTCATTCTCTTCCCTACTCTTTTACTTTCCTTTTCTGAGGGCAGGAATAAGTATCTGTCAGAAATAATTTGTTGTGGACAGGCTTATTTCCTCCAAGGGATTTGAATGCCCTTTTGGGGAGCCAATATCTAATGTTACTGGCTAATGTCCTGTATTTTGTTTGGGGCACAGAGACTGAAAGCTTTAAAAAAGAAAATGCTGGAGACTTTGTCCCTGAATATTTAGCTGTAGAATTTTCTGTTCCTCTATGGAACCCATTTCTGTGTACATGGCAACTTGAGACTACATAACCCAGAGATAAGTTAAAATTGTGTAATTCCTCTCCCGTGTAAATAAACGGGAGCACATCTTTGCATCTCAAACCAAAATCAGTGTTTTGGCTTAGCTCAAAACATAACCTGGACATTCACAGCAGTATCAGCTTCAGTTTTTTCTCCTCACTTTATGAATTGCATAGAGTGTATTTGTAAATGGAAAGTTTTGACAAAGGTGTTAGTAGTTTAGAGTTCTGTTAAATTGTGTGTGGTTTTGAAAGGAGTTTCAAATAATATTTTTCACAGCTCCACTGATGAAGCATTTCATTAGCATTGGAGCCTAAACTGGCTGAGAAATAACCTTTTACCATAGGTTCCTTCCATGCACTTAATCTCCTTTCACTTTATTTTTTCCATCTGATGGAATGCATCTCTCTCCTCCCATCACTGTTGTTTTCCTAGAATTACTCTGGCCCATAGCACTGCATCTTCTACTTCTCCACAAAGACTTACCAGGAGAAAAAGAGCCAGGTTTTTTTTAGAGTTAAAGAATACTAATTAATGTGTAGAAAAATTCTGGAGAGAATCCTATCTAATGCTACATTTCTAAACCCCTTAAAACTGTTCTATCCTATGACTGTGGGTTTGCTGGTGACAAATGGTTTATGGGCATACTTGAGTAGACACCCGTCTAAAATCTGTTCTTAATAGTCAGATCCTAAATTGGAACCAGAGGGGCAGAAAAACCAGATTTGAAACGTGTTTCTAAGGGTTTGTTTTTACTTTCAGTTGAGACCGCCTTCTCTCATCTTTTGTGCTGCTGTCAAAAGGGCCACTCTCATGGTTGTTCAAACTCCGTGCTTCTTGACAGGAACAGTTGGACCCCTCTTCAATGATTTTCAGATGAAACAGCTTCTAAGCCTCCAGAGCTTTAACTTGTAGTTATTAGGTCCTTTGAAATAGCAACACATTAATCAGCTGAAATCAAGTGGTCCTTTCTCCAATTCTGTGATTTTGCTGTGCTCTTCTAGGTAGAACTCTATAGCCTAAATATTGGTTTCAAGAGGTCTTTTTTTTTTTTTTTTTCCTCTGTAGAAATGTCTATCCCATTTCAGTTTCTATTTTAATCATTGTTTTATAATGCTGTGAATTAAATTGCTCAGTTCTATAATAGGCTTTTCAACTCTTAAATTGCCTTAAAAGAAGGAAGGCAGGAAGCTTGCTTCCACTTGTTTGACTTTTATTTTAGAAATTGGCAACTGTCCTTTTAAATTCTCTCATGCACACTCTGAAGCCCACCAGAAAAAGTGTTAATGTAATGGATTATGTCTGACAAAACTTGGCCTAACAATGATTGAAACATTGAGAAACCCATGGTTTGTTAAAAGTGGATGGTTTGAAGCAGGGGCTTGGTTTCTGTCCCTGACTTCTGTGATATTGAGCAAGTGATCTGAACCTGTTCATGACTTCCCTCACCAGTCTGGGTATTAGGAAACAAGACAAACTAGGGACTACAAAGAATGGAGAAGGTGTTGTTCCTTACAGTAGCCATTATGTACATCAGCAGCTGAACCACTCTCAAGTTTTGGCACCAAGCATTGCTAAGAAAATAATATAGAGAGGATAAGACTGGGTCTTCTCCCAGGCACAAGGTATCACAGGGAAAATTAAAACATGTATGATTGAGAACCTTGTAATTTGAGGATTTGAGGGTGTTCATATCACAGGGCTGCTGATGCTGTGCTCAGTGTCAGGGACCTGCATGAGAGCTGATAGAATAGGACACGGGCCTGTTTGGGAACAGCTTTGAAAGCTGGTGCTGCAGAGCTAGTCAAAAGGCTGTTAGAATGCAGAGATATTTCAATTTGAACGCAGAAATATCTCTGTCCATGTTATAAACACCCTCTGAACTTGTATGATGTACTGTATGTTCACAGCAATCATTTCCCATACCTCAGAGGATAAATAATTTCTGAATTGCTAAATCAATTTGTCTTGTGTCTGTGTTGTGTCACAGTAATGAAAGTTCCCTCTACTGTGGTTGTAGCAGTAAAGCAACTCTTCTGAAGGAGATGTGGGAGCTCTATTAAAGCATCCCTGTCTGAGTTATAACTCAGCAACTAATTAACCAGTCAGCATTAGAGGGGAAGCAACAGTATGCCTCAGCTATCAATTGAGACTGCAGTGAGAGTCTGTAATTAAGTTTTAAGATTTATTTAAGGTCTGAAACTTAATAATACAAAAAATGTACTGTTGGATCTAAAATCACCAGGGTCTTGATTTTGTATCTTGCCTAAATGACCTGTGATTGCAAGGTTGTATTATACTTGCAACTGAGCAGAGTGATGTTCATCTAGGAGGGTGACAGATGCACTAAAATTGGTTCAAGTCCTGCAATTGAATGAATGAAGAGAGAGGTTCTTCAAGAGCTTCGTTGACTCCTGTAGGGCTTTGCCTAGCTGACTGCCAGTGGAGTCTTTTTGCTGCATTGAGCAGACTGACTTTGCTGATTCCCCAGGGAGATAAAGTAAATGCAACCTCCTCCAACAGGCTGAGCAAATGTTTTGAGTTAATTCTTGGCAACATGCATTTCCATGAAGGAGTTTACATAAGGATCCTATGTATATTTTTGTGTGTATGTCTATTTTTATCTGTCTAGATATACCTGAGAGAGATATCTGAATTGATATGTACAATAACAGGGCGCTTGAGTGACATTTGAGATAGGACAGGAACTGGTGTCACCTTCACTTTGTCTTATAAAGCAAGCAGAGGTTCATCCAAGGGAGCTGGAATGCCTTCAGAGGAACTTGTTCAGCCTAGAACTTTCATTCATGGAAGGCTTTTTAGCTTGGACTATCACGATTTTTGAAGTCTTCATTAACTAAAGCCATACAAGACTCCAGGAAGACAGATCAAGTACCATGCCTTCTTGGCCAGGATTCTTGTGTTTCTGTGGCCTTGCTTACATATGAAATGTGGCTCTTGGAATTATTATCACTTCTGATTTTTCAGGATGCTAAATAGAAGGATCAAAAAGAAGAAAAAAAAAATCAAAACCAAATCCTCTTCTACATTCCTATGCTGCAAGTCAATAGCATGGGATGTATTGCCTGGATGTCAGCCTATTTTATAAATGAATATATCTCAAAGATTGTTTTACAGGCCTACAAATGCCAAAAACAGGAGGACAGTCTAATTTCTTGCATAGCAACAGCTAACAAAATTAGGTTCCCTCTAGGAAATTCAACTGCTGTTTGGACAGGGCTATGGAGGCAGTTGTTTCTTGGTTTGTGTTTGGCCCCTGGTAGACATTAACTGGTGATTTGTCTGATGTCAGGCAAGTCTTTTGGTTAAATGTTACAACAGTTGCTGTTTTCTAGGAGTCTAAATTCTCACCCCGCTGAATGCAAGGGGAAAGGCCTCTTTGGTACAGTGTGGTTAGGCTTTCAGGTCCATAATACAAAATACACTAACTGGATATGAATAATTTCACATACCTCCATTATTCTAAAAATGTGATCTTTGTTTCTGATCATTCCAGCTTCCTTTGGGGGAAGAAGAATTAGATAAATGTGTTTGTGCCCTGTCTTTAAAGGAGATTGTTTAAATCAGCTTCAAGTTAGGACCAGCATTAGGCAGTTCTTCTGGAAACACTATGTATGAGTAGAAAAGGAGATGGGATCGCAACAGGCTTTTCATGGCAGTTCTGAATTTAGTTTATTAACTTTGCATTGCCAGCCACTCCATGTTTGGAGTCTGTTCAGTTATTGTTGATACTTGTAAGATAGGACTGTAGTTTGTCTCGGTAGATTTTATTTATTTATTTATTTTAAATCCTAAGTGCTTTTTAAATGTTAGTTACTTATTTTACTCATCCAAATTGTGGAACAGAACTTCAAAATTTGGCATTTGGTTTTGCTGTTAGTGGATTTTATCAGATACCACTCCAAACACACAAACTCGTATGTTTCAGGGCAGAGGCTCCAAGCAACCAGTGTGCTGAAAATGGCAAGGGAATGGGGATGGAAACTGGGCTCACTGCATCCCTTTCCTAAATGATGCATCATGTGCAACCTAGAGCCTTGCCTGCTGGAATGTGATGGTCCTTCCTCTGTGCTGCTGTGTCAAGAACATAGGTGTATTAAGTATGAAGATGAATTAGCTAATTATCTCCTGTGGAGTGAGGAGGGATGTGGATGGCTCCTCTTACACAAGAGGAAGAAACTCCTCTAGCCTGTGAAAGACCCTCTGACAATTGGGCTGTTGTGAAATGGAGCAGGTTTACCTCTGCAAGTGGGTCTGTTATGCACTAGCACTAGGGACAAAGGGCTTTCAGGCTTGAAGGGCATACCAGGTAGGAATGAATAAAGCCTCTAGACTAACTTTATGTGGGTGGCCTTGTAGTTCACCAGATACAGGAGAGGAGAAGCTAGGAAGTGGTAGCCTAATGGATTCCAACAGAATAGCAGGGGAGGATGCTTTGCGAGCAGATTTTCTTTGCCAAAATAATAAGATGAATTAGGTTGATAAGAGATTCAAGGATGAATGTATCTAGGTACAATGACTGAAAGGCTTCTCTTATGTGTCTTTCTTTTCAAACACTTGCATTTATTCACTTCTGCTGCTTTATTTCTCTCAGGTATTTGTGGTCACTGTCTGGAGCGTGGAGCTGTACATGGTGCCCCTGGCTCTGCTGGTGCTCTTTGCATACAACTTCTCCCTCGTCGCAACAGGGAAGTTCAACAACACCCAAGATGCCCAGGTAAATAAAATGGCAGTAACATTTCTTGCAGCCCCAGCTTAAATTTGTCCTTGGGCAAAATGTTCTACATTTTAATGGTAATGAGCTAGTTGTAGCTAAACAGCATTTTTATTTTGAAGTTACTGAAAAGAAACTATCTCTATTTAATGATTCAATTCAAGCAATAAACCATTCAAAGTAGTAGGAGAAGATGAAGAGAGTGTGTAGGAGGGGGTTTTCACTTAATAAATAGCTACAAATATTTTGAAGTTGAATTAAGAAATACTTACAAAGCAACAAGTTCTTAAAAGCCATACCCCTATCCCCTTGCACTTCGCATCACACTGGTGATTCATGATTCACAGAAGGGGAAAATCAATAGAAGCCAAAACAGAAGTTAGTTGTTTTTAAACCTTGTCCTTCGATCTGATCTGAGACTTTAGGAAGTCTTTATTCCTCTTCCTTAGCCCCCAGTTTTAAATGACAAATGTTTTTTTAGCCTTCAATTTTTTAACTTGATCTGGGAGGAAAAAAAGACTTAAATGTATCAAAAATCACAATGCGTGTGACAAAGTGTTGCTGTTGTGGTATGAAATGCTGCTTGATGTTGACCACTACCTCAAATAAGAGTGGTAATTACAGTTAGAAATGAGAGTAAATTCATGTATGTCCACCATATTCTGTTTTAAAATGTGTGGTAAGTACAGAAGTGAAATACAGACCAAATTATAGATTCCCTCCAACTATTGAGAAAAGGCTGATTGACCTCTGTACCTGTGAAGAACAGCTTCACCCAAAGAAGTCAAATAGCATTTATATAACAAAAAATATCCTAGAATTAAAAAGGTCAATAACTGCTTTTTTAGTTTTACTGAGAAAAGCTGCTCTTAGTTCAGTTTTCATCCATTCCCAGTGGAAGGATTGTTAGCAAATAGGGCAAGTTTCATTATCCAGGCCTGGACCAAGACTTGATTTGAAAACAAATGGTAAAATAAATGCTTTTCTCCAATTTCAGCCAAGTCCACAATAAGGTAGAAAGATATTTAGTGTCTTCAATGACTAGCTTATTTCATCAAGAAAATGAGAACTTCCCATCTGGGAGAATCCCAGGCAAACAGGTGTTTTTGTTTTTAATACAAAAGACAATATAAAATAGTACCATGAAAAAATACACAGAGAAAACCTTCCAGCACCCATCACTCATCCTATGATGAGTTTGTTGCATGTTCAAATGAGAAGAGTCCCACATATGTCAACAAAACTGAGTAGTACATCATTCGGGTTGATGCTGCAAAAAGGCTCTGTCTGAAAATACAAATACAGGTTAAGTGCAGTAATATTGAAGAAAGGTCCATCAGAAAGTCAGCCCTTTTCCTGTCACACATTATGCAGGCAATGCCATCCTGTGAAATTCCAGGGCGCATTTTGCATAAGCAAAGTTACATGTCTGCATAAGTCTGCAGGATTGGGATCATATGGAACAAGTAGTCAAAGTGCCTTTAATATTACCTGATTTCTATTTTATGTGTGTCTATGATTCTAACCATCTGTAGGTCAAAAACAGACAATCAGATGCTGCCCTTAGCCACATCTGTCCTGCAGATGGGAAAAGGTTTTCTACAGAATACCAATGCCTTTTACACACTCATTTATTTATTTTTCACTTCTTCAGACCTTGGCTGCATGTGCACTCCCTTTTGGTTTTTATGTGCCAGCAAGCACATTTCATCTATATAGAGGAATGTGAGCATCAGTCTTTTGCAAAAGTGGACCTCAAATTCTCTCTGATTTCTGTGCTATAAAATGGGTATAACTATTAACCTTCTACACATGATCCACTTGCCAGGAGGCTGGATTCGTTAAGATTGGTAAAATGCTTTATGATTTACAGATGGGGAGCTTCCACAGAAGTGTAAGCCATGATCAGCATTAATTCAGCGTCTCAGAGTATTTCAGAGAGAAAAGGAGTAAAACTGGTTACCTAAGCTCTCAGTACCTTCTGCAGACTAGATGCAACCATTTTTCTGGGAGAGAGAATTAAAAAAAAAATCCAAAACGGAGCAAAAAGACCCAACCCCCCCACTAAAAGCCAAACCTAAATCATCTTTTTATTGTGATTCTTCACATTTTTTGCATGTTTTCTCTATTTAAACTTGTAGTACACTGATTCAAATGTACCTATTAAATAACCAAGAAAAACTTGGAGGACCCTGCTAAAGGCTCAGCTTATGAAATACCTGAATTGAAATCCAAGTGCTCTTAATTTCAAACCTTCAAGCCTTTTGTTTTCTCCCCTACCTGTCAGCATTAGAAGGTAAATGGAGGAAATAATGCTGCATAGAAATCTGACTGCGATTCGTGAGATTGATTATATTCATACCAATGTATTTTCAAAAGTCTAATGTTTCATTAATGACCCTAAAGGGATGGAGCAGTAATTGTAGCAGTGAGGTTGGAATAAGTTGAATATAGTGTCCTCAGCCTTGACAAACTGGCTGGTTCATTTGTCAGACTAAGAACAAATCTCTTTACAGACAGTAAAAGCTGGCAATGAATTTGAAAGCCTGTTGTCTTCAAACTGCTGGACATGGCCACTAGTGCTTTATTCAGACTGAAAGTTTGTATAGAGTTTTGCCTGCTTTGCTCAGGATATCACAAAAAAAAAAAAAAAAGCCCTTGAATACAAAATGTTCTTTCTGAAAGGTGAAAGTGATGAGTTTTTCTGATGACTTGCAATAAAAGTGGGAGAAAACTGTAATGAAATGTGGGAGTATCATTGCCAGTCACTAAAAAATAAGTGTAGTGTTTTGTAATATGGACATCTGCTTTGGTGCAGGAGCTTATGGGCTTGGATGAAGATGAGGATGAAGATGATAAGGTAAGCCTATCTCAATGTTGTCTTAGCTAGAATCAGAAGAAATGTGAGAGAGAACAAACCCACCATCCTGTCTCCATGAGATCTTCTTTTATTATCTGTATTAAGTGAGGGAAAAATTGTTGCAAGTTTGCCGATTGGCAAATTTGAAAGTATGAAGGGATTCAGTAGTGGAGACCTCTACATGAGACCTCTGAACATTCAGTGAATCTGAACAGTCCCCAGTTGGTCCTTGAAATCACAGCAGGCACGTGTTCATGGATGTGCTCTTGGAGGTATGTGTCTGAGTGGATGAGGTGCAAAGATATGCACGAGTCTCTGAAACCCTTCATCACATCATTCTGAGTGTTCCACGGACATTCTGTACTAACGCTTTTCCCCAAATGATTTGGCATTTCCATTGCTCTGGGCCACAATTGGTGTGATTTGTGGAGGACTGGTATGAATTTTCTCAACATTTCTTTCAGAGCCTGGGAAAAAAAAAAATTGGTTTAGTTCATCGGTTGAAATGTAGAAACAATTGGAATTGGCAAGGTCTGTTTCTTATTTTACTGGAGGATACTTACTCATTCTTCTCACTATGAAAAATTCATTGGAGGTTTGTTTTTTTCAAGTTTATCAAGCCACAGTGACAAATGATAAAAGGATTAGAGGGCGTGACATATGAAGAAAGATTAAGAGAACTTAATGTATACAGCTTGAAAAAACATAAGTAAGTGAAGGAGGATCTGATAATCTATAAATACTTTAAAGCTAAAAGGTGAGGAATTATTTAACGAGCAACAGCATGCAAAGGAACATTAGCTGTTAGGGAGAAAATGTTCACAAGGCAATGTGAAACTTTCAATTGCATACTAAGTTAATAAGCTCTTTCTTGAATATTCTGTGCTTTAGGAGTGTTACAGTGAAATTCTTGATCACTGAGAAGTAAATCAATACCACAGTTAGCAAGTGCACCTTAACTCTTCTCAGCCACAGATGCTAGAATTGAAGCTCAGCAGACTTATTACTGGGAATGGTTATTTAAATTTCACCTGTTCTTCAGTGGTGTTTATATTTTAATGAGGAACCAGAAATCCATCAAAGTTATAAAGTGAACTTTAGACAATCTAGTTGAATTGCAGGTTTCTTGCAACAAACAATTGTTGTGTTGTTGTTGTTTTTGTTGTGTTTTTTTTTTTTTTTTAAATGTTCTCATTTATAATTCACTCTTTGCATCATAAAATTAGGCAACTAAATAGACCAGTATCTGGAACTCATGAGAAGTCATTAAATGGAAGTTGCATGCTTTTTGAAGAAATACTGTGTATCTCTAAAAGTCAATAATTTCTATTTGCTGGGTATCCAAAGCTCAACACTGTAAATGTTGATCCTACATCTTATTTGTGTGATGCCTAAAGGTGTAACTTTCTTGCTGGAGCTAATCCTGTTTCCTCTTTTTTAGTATTCATATTATTCATTTGCAAGTGCTGAGGTGGAAAAAAAAAATAAAAAATTAAATGTATTAAATAGGTATTTAATCCTCTGTTTCCTGTGCTGTGCAATAGATTCATTCCTGCAAAACAAACATATTCTAGGTCAAATTTACCCTAAATATAACTCAAATTACTTTGGTTCTCTCTCAAATGTACTTTGGTTCTCTCTCAAATGTACTTTGGTTCTCTCTATAAATACATCTGGGTCACTTAAATGTGGATCTAATCACTTGCATTTTTGCCTCCCCCCTGCCTCCCTGCTAAAGAACTTCACTGTCATTTGCTTTCTTGGTTTCTTATAACTAAGAATGCAGGTTTGGGAGGGCTCCTGAGAGTCAGTGTTGAGCTGCTGCTGATTTGGCCCTACCAGTTGGTAATCGGTGTTGCTTCTGTCTCCGTGTTGTGCACGGTGACTCTGAAATGGAGAGCAGGTAGAACTGCTCACTTCCAGCAGGCTTTCTCATCAAGATAACACTTAATATCCCAACATTACAACAATGATAATTCATAACTTGTAGTAATTGGTATACTGCTGCTGTGGGTCTCTTGGATTCTGACAGGAGAGAGAATTACCAGCCACTACATGTGTCTCATGTCTTTGTCCTTCCTGGGTTTATCCCCTTTGCGCCAACATTGGACAATGTTTGCACTCTGATGACTTGCATCTTTGAGTACATTAGGTTACTTTTAGTAACTTTTTTTAGTGACTTTTCCAAGTCTGAGGGTGGCCAGTGCTCTCTGGAAAGTGTAAGGAAAATGTAATTTTATGACATTATCTCATTGCAATGTCAACATTTAAACAGACAACTGTACTTTCAAAAGAAGTTTGTGTATTTTTTTCCCCTCCCTAAAACAAGAGCTTCTAAATCTGCTGTTTGGGTTGTGGTATTGGAGGTCACTGTTTCTGTTTCCTATCATCCTGCTGTATCAAAATACTGGCACATGTAGCCTTGCTGGGCTCTGCTGCATGTTAGACATAACAGACCATGCTTCTGGGAATTGTAACACACCCTCTAAGAGATGAACTGTTTACAAATTATAAATACACAGACGCTTAGTTCAAAAACCCAACAGCAGATTAACTTGCTCCACCTAAATTATTTGTCTTAAATGACAGGACTTAATTGCCAAGTCCCCTTTTCTTTCCCTCTCTCCCCTCCCCAAATAGCAGCGTGGAAGACTTAAAAGATAAGAGAGCTCTGTCCCTTTGGCACAAGCTGCTTGGTGGATGAATATCTTCTTAGATTTGTGCCATCTTGGACATGGAGTTCAGTCTGTGCTGTGTCAGCTCTGGGCTCTGTCAGGCTGTCTGAGTAAGGATTGTTTGAAAATCACATCACTGAAAGATCTTTTGCATGCCAGTAAAAAGGTACAGGCAACTTACCTGCAGCTCAGTGTAAGTTGTCTGATTGTTGGCCATCTCTATTTATTTTACTTTTTTTTTTTTTCTTTGATAATGACTGTAGAGCTTCTAGAGCAGACAGTTACCCTGTTGAATGAGTGTATCATAGCACCCAACTGGAAGGAGTCTTGGAGTCTTCTCATGAACTTAAGTTGTCTGGATAAAAGTTTGCATCTTCTTCAAACCAGACAAAACTTAAATTACTACTATTTCCAGGTCTGCTAAATGATTCAAAAGAAAATTGGAGACAAAACTAAATCAACAACACTTCCTGATTGGTTGTTTTTGTTTTGTTTTGTTTTTTTTCCCTGGAGGGTTTCTATCCCATGGTGAGCCAACCTAGCCCTGCTTGGCTAGTGAGATGTGATAGGGAAGGATCAGATGACAAGCTGTTTGGCCACTTCCAAGAAATACTTAGAATCTCATGTATTGGAAAAAGGAAAAGTAGGATAACCCCAAGGAAGAAAAACCCAAAGTTTCTAATGTAGGGAATTCTCTGTCAAAAATAGGTAGCAAAAATACACAACATTTTATGAACACAGTTCAAAAAGACTCCAGCTGAACAAATTGAAGTCAAGTTCATCCAGTAGCAAAGAGCTGACATTTTCCATTTGAGTTAGATTCAGCGTGTGGAAACCTTCCGTATGGATCTTATTTGTACGGGTGGATTACGATGAAAATTGCATTAATTTTCTCCACAGTAAAGGTCAGTAATTGAAACATGAACCAAGAGTCTATTGTGTAAGATGCTGTATCCCCATACTTAGGAAAGGTCATTCAGGACAATATCATCTCATTGTCTTCTTTCCTGGAAGTATAAATAATTTCATTAGTTTTTCTTTTTCTCTTCAATAGACAACAATTGCAATTTAATATTTCAACATCTCCCATTAAGATTGCTGAAGAGAAGTGATGGTAAAGACTTAAAGATACCCCTTTGATACACAGGGTATGTTTAGACTAACAAGGAGCTCCCACCTTCTCCACAAAACTAGATTGTGTCCTAAATCCCCCCTAAGGTGTGCGTTTGTGTTGGCATGGACTCCATGAAACTGCGGTTGTTTCTTCAGTTGGCTCATTGTGGTTTCCTTCCCACAGCTTCCTAACAAGTCTGTGCCCAGGCCATGAATATGTACATTAGTGATGGAAAAGCTGAAGGCACAGATTCTTGCTACTTTTTCAGTGCAAATCTGAAGGCCAGGACACTTCTAAGCACACATAATCATCTGGTCTTGCAAGCATCTTGACTGCAGTGTAATGCTAATCTCCAGTTTTCACTAAGGACACAACTATAGCTTCTGTACATTTTATCCAAGCATCTTATTAACCTAATTAACAGTGCAGGGATTGTTCTCGTGCTTTTCCTTTTTTTGGGAGCTTCCTGTGTGCAAGAAATGGGAAGACAGATGGTGGACTATTACTTCTTAAGCATTGTTTAGGATTGCATTAATCTGTAGGTATCCCATAAACTGGCACAATCTTTGTCCCAGCACCATGACCCACCTATTCATAGGTTTAGGAGCAATGGGAGAGAGGTGTTGAGAGGAGGAACTTGCAGAGGACTTTTAAGATATCCTGGGCACTGTGATATGGCTGTCCTCACACAGAAACCTTTGCAGCCCTGTGGCAGTCTAAAATTCTCCCTCTTGTCCTGGAGGTAGGTAAGTCAGCAGTGTAACTTCTCTAAATCTCTGGGGAAATATGAAGTAGCACTAGGCAGGGCACTGGACTGAGAATACAAACCTCAGGGAGTTCTTGTCCCTTAAAAATTCCTACTATTATAAAATGTTGTTAACATTTATTTTGTATTGGCCAGATGTATGAATACTTCTGTCTCTCTCCTGTTGTCCAAATCACGAAAGATTGTTCCCTAGATTATAGATAATGATCCAGTAGTTTAAGACTAATCACCAGAAGAAAGCACTTCTGACCAAAATTGGTTTATTTCCCCTTTCCTTTTTTATATCAAAGACACTTGATGACTTTTATCCCCATTCAGTCTTCTTTCCTCTTGCTTCTTAGGCACATGTTCCTCACCCCAATGGTGCGTTATTCCTGTTGTGACTACCACTATTGCTTTAAAACTTGTAGCAATACCACCAGACTTTGGGTTACTTTACAAGTCT